TTCCAATGGCCTAAAACCCTTGTCCGAAGTTCGCCATAATCCTACAGTAATGAAGAGCGATAGATGATTCGCTCCGTACTGTAAATCTAATTGCAAGAACCTCGCTCTACAAAATGATACCTAAAGCTTTTCGAAACACCTCATTACAAAAGAGTTATTTACAATCAAACAGTAGGTACATTTTTTGGGATACCCTGTAGAAAGTGTCGACGAGAATTCAGCTTATTAAATGCCTACCGATGAGACTCGGCTCAAACCCTTGGCGATGTAGTGTTTAGAGTGTAGAAGTGTATATTTGGATTACGTCTTTGCCTCTGTCTTCAAGCGGCTCCTTCATAATGTGGGACACCGCCCCTTCGTCGCAGGGATGTTAGCGCATAAGGTTGACTGCTTAATCGATATGATTAGTGAATTTTAGTCCAGGATCCATGGGTACATCCGAGTCCTTGGTGGTGGAGCAGATTTTCAAGTATTCTATCCAGTTTCTAAAAATCGATTTGTATAGCACGTGAAGCCCACGTCATATGTTCATCAACAAAGCTGTAGTGCTGTTTGTATGTTCGTTCTTCTGATGACACTGCTCTTTTTACCGCATCTGAATGACGAGTGCATTTTACCGCGAACTTTTACAACACAACATTCACAACAAACGAATTCTACTATGAATTGGAGTACAACTGGCGTGACTGAATGTACTTTCACTAGCTATTGCAAAGATCTGCCAGTTTTCACATCACACAGAAAGTTTGGGTGTAATGTTTGTTCCCACTCTTAATAATGGGCGGCATAACGTTATACTACAAGGTTCTCGCCGCTAAGCTCGCCGCCATAATCGGCACGCGCGCCAAGCTGGTTACGGTAGTCCGCACCCATTTTGCAGCGGTACGCGTGAGCAGTCACGCAAACGCCGCCTCGTCCACCCTCGCCGCGTCGACTAAGCGTCGCGTTGAAATTTGGTTTGATAAGAGATTGTCATTTCAACATTCCCTTGTTCTTATTTGCAAGTAAAAGAAACCTGAAACCAATTCAAGAAAAAGAGAAAAAGGAAAAGTTTTCCGTAATTTTACACCTTATCGCGGGGCGTCGTGACGTCGAGGGTGGACGAGGCGGCGTTCACGCGACTGCTCACGCGCACCGGTGCAGAATGGGTGCGGGACTACAGTAAACCAGCTTGGAGCGCGTGCCGACTATGGCTGGGAGCTTTGGCGGCGAGTGCCTTGAGTACAAAACACGTCCTCCTAAGAATAGGTTGGCAACCAAGCTTTGCAACTTTTTTACATAACATTTCTATTTTTTGAATAAGCATCGTCTCCCTGCGAGGTTCAACTTACAAGGGAAGGAAGATCGGTCGAAGTGGACTTTCGAAATGAGGTGTATAACGCCTTGTAGAGCTTGGAACGCTGATTCCAAATCTATTGCTAGCTGCTGCGTGCTTCTGGGTGTGGAGTTATGAAGGCTTTTGTGAGTGAAAATGTGAATGCAAAAATAAGGTAAAATCAGTCGTTTTCCTTTTCTTCAAATGAGGCGGCAGCGAATTGGTACACTTGAATCAAAAACACTTGTTGCACCGAGTGACACTACTATCAACTTAGCCCTATAAAAATGTTACGACTGATTTTAGCCTACTCTTGCCATAGGCCTTTCGGTGAAATAATTTCAAAAAAAATCTGAAAGTTTGTGTAGCAAGGCTTTTAGGCGTGCTAATTTCACTACATAACTTTTCAACCAGTTTTTCGAGCTTTTTTGATGGCCTATTCACATTTTCCACGAACATCGAAAAAATTGTTACCCTAGATCTAAAAGAACTTATGAAGAAAGCACTATACTGAAGTGCATTGTTCATATTTAGATTCAGCGACTTTGCTTAGCCCAGTTCAAGAGGTAACGGCTTATTTGGCTTTCCTTTGGCAAAATATCGCTTTCAATGGCTTAAAATCCTTCTCGAATTTTCTACCGTAATCCTACACTAATGAAGAGCGACTGATAATTTGCTCCATACCGCAAATCTAAGTTGAACTTCGCCCTTAAGCTTGGCAAAAGACATGTAACTAACAGGGTTATTAACGACCAACAGTGCGCGCATCTTTTTGGCACACCCTGCATATTCTGCTTTGAGTACGTTAGACTGCAAAATTTTTCATCTAATGTTTATAAGTTAAAGTTCAAGTTTTCATTGAAGATGGAAATTTTCCAGAATTTCGTTGTAAGTACGTATATATTATACATCAAGCTCAAAGCGTTGGAGTTCCACGTTTTCGCCTATATCAATACTCCTGTATTAGTCCTCCATTTAAGTAACGAAAACAAAGCGGGACACAGCAAGGAGCAGTACTGTAAAAACTTACTTCGAAGTAATTCATCGAAGAATAGAGTGTGTGTGCAGGAATACGGTAGATGCATAGTGGTGAAGTCTTGCTCGGAAATTCTGAAGGTTTACTTGGGGGTATCTCTACTGCTCTCTTTGAGAATGGTAAGCCAATTTTTGTCTGATCTCATGCTGTAAGAACATTTGTCTGTTGGTGCACCACCATATGACATGCCTGTTCAGTATATGTACGTTAATAACTTTCGAAAAAGTTATTTACAAGGGAAAGAAACGGGATTTTGAGAGTAATTCGTGACATCGGCGGTACGCATGGTGCATTCATACTCTTCTACCTCGAATGTTCCTCAGGAAACAATAACAATGCAAGCTCCTCCCTCAAGGGGTGGTGTTTATCGGTCTTCTATATAAGAAAGGGTTCCTGTACAAGTAACAGCCCGTACAGGCGCGTGCACTGGCGCCCGCGATACACGAAGCCAAGTTGTTGATCGAGCTCCTGTCTGTTTAGAGTTATGGTCCCATCTGACAAAGTTTGCCCATGTCAGGCACGGCAGTAGGGCAGCGGAGCCCGACCAGTATTGGGCTCCGCTGCTTGACTGCCGTGCTCGGCATTACCAAACTTGTCAGATCGGATCACATTGTAAAGTTTGACGAATCACGGGATTGGCACTCTCGCTTGTCCGGGCATTTGTTAGTAATGGCCCGAACAGCGACTGGGGGATTGATATGTACTGCCCCAGAGCTCTCCGAGCATTGTCAATGAATGCCGCAAAAATCTCATGGGGATGCTTTTTGCCAGAAACTCTAGAATCAGTCGTAAGCCGAAAAGTTCTAAACATTGTATCACCGTTGATATAAACACTATGTTAGTGCTACTCAAACCAATGGTATGACTTGAATGCACATAGGCTTATGCCACGAAATGTAGTAATTTGAAAAAGGAAGTCCAAGTTGGCTCATCACTGACATTAATTTAGTTTATTAGGTTGTCTCATAATTAATGCACGTTTTTATTTGCTTGCTTTAACAAAGCGACCAGACTGAACCCAACAAAGAGTAAGGGGTACTGTTCGATAGAGCAAAGCAAGCTCTACAAGATGGCACTCATGTCTTTGCGCCATGCTCGATCCACGGAGAGTTCGAACTCAAAATCTAAAGGTTTCCAAATGCCCAAAAAATCGAAAAAAAAAACAGATCTTCGTCCAAATAATTTCTACGGACCTCCCACTCGCTCACATCAATACTATCGATATCTGATATCCACATGTGCAATTGCCGTATCTTTTCCTTGACTAGAAACTGAGAAAACGAAATTTTTCGTGTTTTTCTAAAAGCAATGCTGAGCCGTTCCTGCATATGTAGTTCTATACTACAAGCTTAGGTAAGCATAACTGTAGGTTTTCAGCCCATTCCAAGCGGTAGTTTTCGAGAAATGTCGATTTTAGCACTGAAACTGGAACGATAAAACCCGAATTCGTTATTTTTCGAAAACTATTGCTTGGAATGGGCTGAAAACCTACAGTTATGCTTATCTAGGATGTAGTATAGAACTACATATGCAAAAACGGCTCAGCATTGCTTTTAGAAAAACACGAAAATTTTCGTTTCCTCAGTTTCTAGTTAAGGAAAAAATACGGCAATCGCACATATGGATATCATATATCGACAGTATTGATGTGAGCGAGTGGGAGGTCCGTAGAAATTATTTGGACGAAGATCTGATTTTTTTCGATTTTTTGGGCATTTGGAAATCTTTAGATTTTGAGTGCGAACTCTCCGTGGATCGAGCATGGCGCAAAGACATGAGTGCCATCTTGTAGAGCTTGCTTTGCTCTATCGAACAGTACCCCTTACCCTTTGTTGGGTTCAGTCTGGTTGCTTTGTTAAAGCAAGCAAATAAAAACGTGCATTAATTATGAGACAACCTAATATTAACCTATAGTAGACTGTCTTTTCTAGAAATCTTCCATTTTGCTCTTCACTGATAAATCTAAGCTATGTGCTAATAATCTGATACATCCAGATATCAACCCAATAAGCAGTTATTACAAAAAATTGAAGTGACTGTAAGAAATGGCACATGGTATATTCCAAGTGCTCTACGTGGTTATATTTGTTTATGCTCAAGATAAATGTGACTTCTGCTAATGTGCAAGTGCGCATTGCAAATATCTAAGATTCTTGATGAAAATGCCAGTTTTGAGAATAGGTTACCAGCAATGACGTATAAATGGGTCCAAGAGTGACGCGAGTGAAAATAAACTCTGAGTACAGCTTTTATAGAAGTGCAATGCTGTGACCATACCATGATCAAAATGTTGAAGCCTTTATAAGTAAAATTTTGAGTAGGTTCGGTTAGTATTATTTGCTCCTTCGTGTCAGTTCCTTAATTACATAGCTTTTATGAACTGTTTTTATTTTAGTTCCACCAATATATCTCTGTAGGCCTTTAATTTTACAAAACGCATTTGAATCGGTGCAGTCAAGTAAAGCACAATCATAACTTGTGTTTCAACCAGTTGGTTTCAATCGAAAGACTTGATTGCAAGAAATAGAATTTATTAAGGAATTGGCGCCAAATTTGATCAAATCCAATGCACAAAACAAATTCTCGTCCATTTTTGAATGAGACATTCTGACTTTTGCATAGAGTCCATGAAACTTCTTTTCCAGAAACATGACTTCATCGGAATCAGTCTCCATCATGTTTCTGTTGTGTGTCATTGAAGCAGCTGCTCCTCCCACCACGAAATGCAAACTTTACACTCCGACACCAGAAGACGGTAAAGAAAAGAAGTCAGGAAAATCCTAGCGAAATCGGCCTTTCTTGTTTTGCTATAGCATGTGTTTGTAGCAATAAAGGGATCCCTTGCTACGTGGTCGTGCGACATTTCCGAGAGAGAAGTTATAGAAATAAAAAGTCGTGAAGAAAACAGTGAAGGAAATTCTACAAAGATAGTAAACGGAGAGGAAACTAAAGAAAAGAAAGCCGAAAAAGAAGCGGACAGGAAGACAGAAGTTAGCAATGGTTCAGATAGTAGCACGGTAAAGAATTTTGTTTTCTGTCTGAAGTTCTGAATAGTGCTAATCTAACCTATCTTACAGAAGAACAATAAAACACCTGCTCAAAATCTGAAACCGGTCGAAGATGGGAAGACTTCTAAAATTGTTGCTTTGCCGGTAACGAGGCCAAAGAGAAGCCCGTGCAATGGTCGTTCAAAGAAAAACTGTAAAGGCAAGCGACGACCGAAGAACTCAAAGAAGCGAAACAGTAGACGTAGAAGAGCAGCTAAGGCACAAAGGAAACGCCGACACTAAATTAAGGAAATCATTCTGTTTATTTCAATCTACACTTCCAGCGTCTTTGCTGAAAAATTTAATTTAGTTAATTTTCGTTCTCCTATGGCACTTCTACTATGCTTTGAAATAAATATTTGATTTTCAATTTGTAACCAGATAAAAGCGAAATAATGAAAGAGCAGACTAGTTCTGAAATATGTAATTTAGAGACTTATCATTTCAAAGCAAGCTGCAGTAATTCAGTTTTATTCTCAAACTTACAGATAGAAATGTTCTCGAGTTGGCAATAAAACTCAAATTGAAAATTTCCTTATTGTTGCGGCTCGGTGGGCTCAGCACCCCCTTGCTCGCTCGACTGCCAACACAATCCTGCTCCTACTCCTGCACATCCTAACGCCGGTTAGCTACTCCGGCGCGTCCGACAATTACCCCGCTGGGTGGAAATAAACCATGACAAGAAAAACGCGACTAGATTACTTATATTTATCTAAATAACAAACACTACACTACAAAAGAACTATACTACGAAAATCTAAACTACGAAAGAAGAAGAAATGCGGGACGAGTCCGCCTCGTCCCAAGCCGCCGATCATCACCAAGTTAGATCTGAATACGATGTCAGGGAATCCCGAGGGTCGACCGCTTACTCGCCTCCGCGTAGGACAGGTACGAGCCCTCTCCACTCCCGGTACAACTTTGAAACAAGGCTCCAAACTTTCCTCGCGCGTTAGCGCGGCATAATCCAAAAGCTCTAACAATCACTCTGCTCGCAAGAACTTCATCCACGGGAGCTTGCTGGGGTGCTGCCAAGCACGATCGATAAGAATACGTGAGAAATCAAAATGAATTTGAAAACGAGGTCACCGAAACAATGAGGCATATGGCGCGCGCTGCGCGGCCTTATATAGCCCTTGACTTGGCAACGCGCCCAAGCAAGGAGAGGTCCGGGCACGAAAGCAATAGCGCGCCCGATCCAGCGGCTTGCAGTGCTCCCGGCTCCTGAATCGAGGAGTGGCTTGCATCGCGCGAGCCGCGACACTTATGGTCCTTCTTGAAAGTGTACTCCAACCTTGCCATGTTTAAACATCTTTGACCGATTTTACCATCTATTGATATGGGGGCACAGGATGAATAATAAAAGGCAGAATTATAATACATGAGTTACTATTTCGCTCCGTTTCATTCCTTCCCACTACGGAGTATGATCTGATTTCTAAGTCTTCCATGGAACTCCAAAAAAGGAAGGGCAAGAATCAAGTAAAAAGTCAAAAATTGGAGGTTGTATTAGGTATTTGATTCTAATACATTCAAAAAACTTAAATTTCGTAAAAATCGACACGACTCACCTTTCAATAAGTGCCTTAATTCTACTTGGCCGCACCGAAGGGATATAGCATAAATAAAATCAACGAATTGGTTTTGGCATTTCACACTATCATTATTCCGCTTGCATTGTTCAGTCATTTACTCAGAGTTACACTTTTATAGAGTGCTGCTTTCATTGAGGTTGAATTTTTGTGATAAATACGCAAAAGCAGTGACGGACCGACGGCCCTCCCTCCGGAAATGTGTCGCAAAGTTCTTGAAAATTACTTTTTAGAAGTTATTATTCTAACAGTAGAAGTGTTTTCTAGGCACTCGTTTTTTCAAACTGAAGCCTGTTTATAATACAATCGCTGTTACTTCTCAGTACACCCACAAAGAGTGTCCTTCGTTGCGAAACAGAAAAAATTAGGTTCATGATTACTTTTAGCACACAACATGCACCTTATGAAAATTGCACGAAAAATTATTGTCACCTGAAACGCGCTCGGTTGAATCTCCGATGAATGAAATGACAAATCCTTGATATTGCGGAGCTGAAGAACATCATTACTTTCCTATTATTGTTGGCGCCGTTACACATGGAGCCATGTACCCAGCAGAACCGAAAAATTCCGTTTTATAGCCTTTTTAAAGCTAAAAAGGTTTTTGTGAAAGCTCCCCCACAATCAAAAACTAACTTTTTTTGAGACTAAGACTGAGAGTTCTAGAAGTTCACGAAAGCTTTTGGAGATCAATAAAAACGAGAAACTGGCTCACATCTTGCGCAGAAAATGGCACAAAATAATGCTGGTTTATTTTTTTAATGAGTGATTTTCAACACTTGAGACTTTATCAGTGCTCCGAGTAGTGTTATGACGATCAGAATGATGAATGCAGGGTTTCTTTGAGACTCCGCGCCGATATACGTCCAGAACCAAAAGCCCCATCAGCTCTGATCTTTCTCCTGTTCGTCTCCGTCTCCGCCGTTGCTTGTTACCTCGCTACTCCAAGCGATGCAGGGAGCACCCTTTGGCTTTGGTACCCTTGTCCTTTGTTGTCCTAAACCCTTTTCTAGTAAACTGTACATCATATCAATGCTCTTGATCTCTACTTTTACGATGACAAGTCACAAAAACGTTTTTGATTTGAACGGGGAATCTGGCTAATTGGAGGCTTTTGCTGTCAATGTTCAAACACTCTATCCATCAGTTCCTGATTGTGTCTTTGCGTTGGCGGCGAGAGGATCGATAGGCATATCAACTGCTTTTTTTCTTAACCCAAGTTGTTGAACAATGAAGCTTTACAGATGAGCTAAAGATTTCCAAGGATGTGGGTGATACTGGTAGCTTTGGACAATCAAGGAAGAAAATTAAGAAAAGGAGAAAGAGCGAAAAAGCCAGCTACAAGAGATTGAGGAGGTTATGAAGATTAAAAGGAAGCGAAAAAGAACATCACGGAAGGAGTAGGAACAGCTACTGAAAAACAAGATTAAAAGACACTTGTTGTCCTATCTCAATCGTAGCACTCTCGGCAACGTCTATTGAAGAGTGCTGAAGTAGAATATCGTTGGTATAATTAGGTTTTTGATTCATGGTGTTCCGAATCAAATGTCCAAGAGAAAAAATTAGAGTCTAGGGCATTACACGTCGAAGACGCTGTTGCAAAAAATTTCTTTTTTAAAGCTTTTATTATCAACGGTATCCTGGCTTGACATTAGTGAACAGTTTGTCCACTGAATGTGCCAACATTTTAACCGGTCTAAAGTATTGTTAAAAAAATTTGCATTTTACGTGGGCCAATGTTCATAAGAATTGGCAGGATTCCATTTTTAAATGAAAAGAAATGACCTTTTTTCAGTTGCAAAATTAGTTACGGACAAAATTGCATATCATTAATCGCATGTGGAAACTCTCAGTTACTCTTTACAGCCACGTTAAGCCAAATACAATACCGCTCATGATCTGTGAAAAGAAAATGCATTTTAAAATTGTCTCAGAGGAGTTCGTGCCACCTAGGCGATTGTCGCCAGACTCACGCGATCGTCGCCTGAGTATATTTTAAAATGCGTTTTTTTCGCAAGTTACGAGCGGTATTGTACGTAGTTGGAAATCAACAATCAATGTGTGTGTAATACTGATTAATCAAAACGATTCATCATACAAATTCATAAAATTAGTCACTCATCCTAACAGAGATAAGTGTTTTAAATTCTTCATGGCATACCGTCGGGAATTACCGTTCCACATACAGATTTTAGTTCCAAAAAAACCGCCGCTTAGCAAAGTTTCTTGCGCATGCTCCGTGTTTTTCCTGGTGTCAGGCTGAACTCGTTCTTTATGTAGATTAGAAAAGAACAAGAGTAAAAGTAGATCTCGAATGTTGCTTCACATCACCGTCTCAAAAACTTTTTCAAATTCAAGTGACCGCATACAGTTCACTGGGGAGGGGTGGGGGGTTTGCTGACAATTGCGCATTTTCTAAAACGTTGGCAAAGGCGTAGGTCTTTTAGGATACTAGTGCATGCGAGCCATTCATGCTTTTCTGAGCTGACTTCTGCTCATACAAAGAAGAAGACCGAGAAATTGTAACAGCAAGTCTTCTGAACTTAATTTTAAAGGCCATAAAATTCACAGCAATTCCTGAGTCAAAAAAAGATGTGGTTTTTACGTTTCTGCGTCTTATCGCGTCAGCTTTCTCTGGAGAGACAAACTTCACGGTATGTATTCCACTACCTAATGCACATCACACACCTCTCCTGATGTAAAACAAGCGTTCCTTACCAAAATACAATGGAAACGAAAGCTGACAATTTTCTTACCGCGTGTCGCAAGTTGTCTGCGCCGTCCAACAGACAGTGTCCAATTCTGAAGCTAGAACTCCGAGATCAAAAAATGTCTTGGCATGAATACTTCTAATTAACGAAATGATACAAAGAAGCGTAAGCTCATCAAAAATAGGCTTACTTTTGATCGTATAAAAATTAGCTGATCTGTTGGAAGTTGTGGTGTACCGCATGTCCTGACAAATACGAGTGAACTTTTGAAAGGACTTTGATTCGATAAATTCATGCCTTCACGAATATAAATTTCAAACATTCAGTTAGGGGCAAAATGTGGACAAATTCACTTTTTCATCAATGCCATAAAGTCGCTCACTTTCTCAAAAAAAATTTTCAGCAAGTCAATGACGCAACACTGAAAGGCACAACAATCTCCTTAATGTACGCTGAAATAAATCAAAGTTGTTAGTATTGTTGTTTGCAGACGACAACAGTGCTGCCTTGTCTCTGCTACTATTTTTTTTCCTCGGAGTCAAACTCAATAGAAAATCAATTATTCTAGCTTTGTTCTGTTCTAGCTTCAAAGTCCCATGCCTGGGCTTTTCCAGCCTGCCCACAAAATGTTGACCAAGTATACGGAGCTCAAAAAATCCCAGTCGTGCACTTGAGCCGTACTTTCTTAGAAATCTTTCGTTAAAAAGGCTCTGCATAATGCGCATGTAAGCTTATCATAACTCCTCCAAACGGCTTCCAATCTTGTTGATACCGAACGGAGAAAAATGGAAAAATTCGAAAAACCCCGTTTTGAAAGTTGGACAAAATTATAAAGACGCCTGGTCTTTTTAAACATTATCGCAATCCTTGACTCTAAAATTTTTTGTAGAGAGTCACATCCCAAAATATGAAACTTTTGCAACACCTAGGACTTGTCATC